AATAATATAATAATATAATAATATAATAATATAATAATATAATAATATAATAATATAATAATATAATAATATAATAATATAATAATATAATAATATAATAATATAATAATATAATAATATAATAATATAATAATATAATAATATAATAATATAATAATATAATAATATAATAATATAATAATATAATAATATAATAATATAATAATATAATAATATAATAATATAATAATATAATAATATAATAATATAATAATATAATAATATAATAATATAATAATATAATAATATAATAATATAATAATATAATAATATAATAATATAATAATATAATAATATAATAATATAATAATATAATAATATAATAATATAATAATATAATAATATAATAATATAATAATATAATAATATAATAATATAATAATATAATAATATAATAATATAATAATATAATAATATAATAATATAATAATATAATAATATAATAATATAATAATATAATAATATAATAATATAATAATATAATAATATAATAATATAATAATATAATAATATAATAATATAATAATATAATAATATAATAATATAATAATATAATAATATAATAATATAATAATATAATAATATAATAATATAATAATATAATAATATAATAATATAATAATATAATAATATAATAATATAATAATATAATAATATAATAATATAATAATATAATAATATAATAATATAATAATATAATAATATAATAATATAATAATATAATAATATAATAATATAATAGTATAATAATATAATACATATACTTTGATATTTTTCATTAATTTATATATTTTATTAACTTATATATTTTATATCGTATTTAAACAAAATATGAAGAAAATCAAACAAACGTATACAGTATAATTGCAGTAATACTGTTCAAAGAGATTGCAACAATTGTCTGAATAAAAATTGCTTATCGTATTTTTTCTGGTCTATTCAATGGTCTGCCGAGTAACGTAGTTTTTTTATTTAATGATAAACGATGATATGAGCAAAATAAAATGATGTATAAAACGTTTGATTTGAACAGGACTAAATTTTGAATAACTGTCATTAATAATTAAACTGCTGATCTTTGTGCAAAATAAAAATTGTCTGCATTAATTGCAAGAAATGGGTATTGGACAGAGACTCATTTCTTCCTTTAATAACTTCGATAAGTTTGCAAACAATGGAACGATATCTCCAAATTCTTGTAAAGTCCGAACAAAGCATGTTTGACACATATCGATTTTCGTCATAAGTGTATAAAGAACTGTGAAAGACGTATATAAGATAGAGGCTGCAACGCGTAAACTAGACAAACCAATTCGTGGAAAACGTGTTGGATTATCTCGCTCCGAACGATAACATTTCGAAGAAACGAATGATGATCGGCGTTTTTGCAGGAGCACCGTACACGGATTCCAGCCAGGTTAAGATATCCGGCTGCGACAAGCCGCCGTGCAAGCTGAAACGAGGGACCAGGGCATGGGTGGAGCAGAAGTTTGTGGCCGGCCACGACACCAGCACCGTAACCAACTCCGTCTTCGCCATGGTGCTCTCCGTGCCGTTGCCGTTCGTCGGCGTCGACGGAACCAGCGCGTGCGAAAGCATCTTCAACGCTGACGGCACCCCCGCCTCGTGCTCGCTCAAGCAGGGCACCGAGTACATTTACAAGCGCGAGTTCGCCATCCTACCAGTCTACCCTACGGTGAGAACTTCCCCCTGTAGCCGCGCGTTCTCCCTATTTCGTTGCCGTAACGTCTCCGTGTCCGATGTCTTCGACACTTCGACTGCCACGCCAACCATCTCGAAAAGTTGCATTAAATGAAACCATTGTATTTAATCGAATTAAAATTGAAAAGTTAGGTCGTATCACCTCGATAACTCCGTCGTTATCGTATGGGTGACATGACAGTCGAAGTGTTAACCGCAGACTTTCATCGCACGACGATTCTAAAAATTCTTCAACAGTTTCGCAAGATATGTTCAAGCATACAGTTCAATGTTGGGAGGTTCAATCACCCAAACCGGGTCAACGCTTCGACTGCCACGTTCTTACATGGCTGACTCAATACTTTTTATCGCACTCGAAACAAATTTATTGTTACCAAAAATTTGCCGAAGTTTAGCCGAATCTACGAGGTGTCAGAGTTGCACCGTAAATGTTGTCGCCTCTTATACTGCATTTTGTGTGACTCGCGTGGCAGTGAACGTGTAAAGGAACCGTGACATTCGCGATTATTTCCCAAGTACAGTAATGTCTCTCTAATTGACGCTCAGATCGTGCAGAAGAACAGAAATGGACAATTTTGGAAGAGGAGATACGATTATTCGAGCCCTGCAATTCGTCGTTATAGTTGTTGACAATTCGTAACGATAACAAATGAACCGCAAGGATCGAATAATCGTATCTCCTCTTCCCAAATTATCCAATTTAGTGGACAATCTGAGCGTCAATTAAGGAGACATTACTGTATATACAGCGTATGCTGTACACAGTAATCTTGTAGCGTATGTAATAACATTTACAAAAAATCGATTTACACTAGCACCCCAATCTATCAGAAAATNTATATACAGCGTATGCTGTACACAGTAATCTTGTAGCGTATGTAATAACATTTACAAAAAATCGATTTACACTAGCACCCCAATCTATCAGAAAATCCATCCTACTAGTCTCAGTAACTGGTCCAAAATTTTGCTATCGACATAGGGGGACCAGTTACTGAGACTAGTGGAATTCATTTTCGGGACAGATCCGAAAAATCCAGTAANTCTCAGTAACTGGTCCAAAATTTTGCTATCGACATAGGGGGACCAGTTACTGAGACTAGTGGAATTCATTTTCGGGACAGATCCGAAAAATCCAGTAAACCAATTCCACTAGTCTCAGTAACTGGACCACCTGGGTCCATAGCAAAATTTTGGACCAGTTACTGAGACTAGTAGGATGGATTTCCGGATAGATTGGGATGCGAGTGTAGATCGATTTTTTTGTAAATATTATGATTACTCTTGCTAAAAATATCCCAGTTCCGCCCATTGGCACGGCTGATCTCGCCTCTCATTGGCCACCGTTTTTTCGTTAATATCTCGCAAACGAAGCGGCAGATTGCATTTGCGCCAAGGAGAAAGTTACTTCAAATGATCTTCGGAATCTCTCATTTTCCTGACCCCCCCTGAATTTCGGAGCACCCTGTACATCGTATAAACAGCATACGCTGTATATACAGTAATGTCTCCCTAATTGACGCTCAGATTGTCTACAAAAATGGACAATTTAGGTAGAGAAGATACAATTATTCGATCCTTGCGGTTCATTTGTTATAGTTACGAATTGCCAACAACTATAAAAACGAACTGCACGAATAATCGTACCCCTCTTCCCAAATTGTCCACTTCTGTGGTCAATCTGAGCGTCAATTAGAGAGACATTACCGCACCGTGACCAAACTCGGTACACAGAGCCGAAAGCTTTCGAAAGACTGTCCTACCGCGGGATCAACAACATTGTCAGGAAAAAAAATCGGCCCACGTGTTACTCGAACGCTGGTGTCCGTCCACGCGTTTTTCGGAAGGAAGCACGCCGGTTTATCAGCTCGATAACCGAAAGTTTATCGAAAGTACTGGACAGAGCAAGTGTCGCAACTGATGGGTCAGCAGAAATTGGCTGTGTCGTGGCGGTTTCGCAACGCGTGTACACGCTCGGTTCTGTCGCTACGTCCGTTCCGAGCCACCGGAGCAAAATTCACCGATACAACGAACTCGTTGTGACATCGTGCGATCTTCTTCCACAGATCTCCTTGACGATACACTACGCGCTGAAGGACGGCGACCGCCATATCACCTGCTTCGAGGTCCCCGCGAAGATCACGAACTGAGAGAGGAGGCTGGCCGCTCGTCCTGGGAAGGTTTTAACACCTCCGTGGAGCCCGGAAACCCACGAAGCTTCGCCTCTTCGCCCCATGTACAAAATTTCCAGGTCACCGTGGAGGAGAGCGTGTTCGCGAGACCGAACACTCACATTCCCGCGAATAGAGCTGCCTCCCGGTAGCCTGCTTTACCGTCGAGCTTAATCAGTATGTAGCATAGTCACCCGTTATCTTAATTGTTAATAAAACTTTTCTATCACCTACGCATACTTCGAAAGATTCCCGCCTACAACGATCTTCCCAATTCTCTCGGTCCAGACGGATTTCCTAACGTTTCGATCGAGCGATTGACAAACGAGTGGTTTAGAATCATAGTTGAGAAGAACAAGGGATATAAATGATAAAGTTACAGTAAATTAACTTAACTCCAAATTCTCTTAACGATGAATTCGGTCAGTAGACAATCACGCGTGTTTGTGATTAATAACTATACTGCGGATCTTATGCGTTTATGACAAAAATGAATAGGTGAAATATGAGCCGTTTATTTTGAAAATGGCATAAGTCACTTTGTTTTTAAGTCGATATATTTATGGGTTCGCGTTTTAACACGTTTCAAAATATGGATGCTAACTTTCGAGAAGATTTACTTGTATTTGTTATCTCAGGAAACCGATATTTTTCTCGGTATAAATAATTTCGTATAAACATTAAAAAATCACCACTTTTCATTACGGTCAAGTGACTTATGCCACTTTCAAAATAAACGGCTCATATACGAATTGTAAGGTCATTAGTAGAATTTGAGGATATTTATTACATTATTTTCAACTCTTATTATAATCGTTAAAGGAAGAAAGACATTTTCAGCTAATTTATGTTTCTTATAGTTAACTAAAATAATTTTTATTTTGCATGAAGATCCGCAGTCTAATGATAACATATCTCGTTTCACTGAATCAGGAAAATACGATTTACGTCACTATGAAGAATCACAGTAAGAATCAATCTTAGAGTTCGCAGTTTAAGTCCATCGTCTGTGTTTGTTTGGTCTCTTTCAAATGCAAATGAATGAAGTGGAAAGAAAACATAGCGGTGTTTTTATTAAAGTTTTTATTTAATTCAACTACAGTGTGTACCACGTACTATACTACGAAGGCTTGGGATGCGACACAGGAACGATTCGTCGCTCGTTTTGGACACTAACGACAAGATCGATAACCATGGTGACTGAAAATAGAGTCTGTAACGTCGAAAATAGTACTTTGAATGGCTTTGCTCACAAGATTGTCGCTAGAAAAGTTTGAATAAAAAGCGAACTCAGGGGAACAAAGTAACAATTTTTATATTCAGTTTTTATTTGAAGAATATTTGGAGGAAGACGCGACTCTTACGAAGAGGACAGATCAAGATCAAGCTATAGATCCGCCGGTAAGGTAGAAAAACTGGCGCGATTGGTAGCTACTGCCACGCGTGGTCGATCGCGAAAACATGTCGACGCGTGGAAATCCGAGACGGTACAAAGGGCGAAGAACAGATTTTTCCGAGAAGCGAAGAATCGCGATTCTGAATTTTTTATCGTTAACTTCAACGTAAGTCGGAAATCGCATAAATTTTTGAAAGAATTTTAAAAGCAAACTGCACGAGTTATGAGTTGTTACATACCTTAATGAAATAGTAGCTTCTACATAAATCAGTTTCATTATTCACTGATCGATGGAGTGCGGAACATCCCGGGAATATGCATTTTTTTAAATAAATTGAAAGCATCGAGTGCTGTATTAGATTCAGAATTGAGCATTATTCTAATTGTTTCGTATACATATCTAAGATAATTATTCGGATGAATTCATTTCAGTCGAATATTTCATTCGAATATCAATTATTCATTATTCGCCAAATTATTTTATCCATTCATTCGTATAAATTACTCGATTAGGGATTGTAAAATTATTCGGAAAGAAATTGCAAAATTGTTCGGTTAATAATGCTAATAATTGTAGCCGATTTTTTAACGTGATATTTTAGGAAATACATAAATGAGCTGTAAATATGAATCCTGATGATCTTTTTTTTGTACCCGGAGAAAGATTATTTAATTATGGTTCAATGATCAGTCTACCTAAAAGTATTGAACTATTTCTGAGGCAACATTTGAAGTAACATTAATTGCAAAACGTAATATGGAAGAAATTAATCGATAAGCTATGAAAGGAGCTCTATATTATATCATTTTTCTAAAAAAAAAATCCAATACGAATAAATTCTCATTCAAATGAATTTTTATTCGATTCACTCGATAATGTCGAATAAAATTTTGACCCTTATTTCTTATACGTCATCCGAATAAAATTTCGCCCAACTTTGATTACATTTGATTAAATATCTCTTCCTACATTTTAAAAGAGCCGGTGCATAAAAGTTGGCAATGAGAGACGATTTCCGTAGATCAATCCAGAAGAACTGGCGTGGTAGAAACATTTGCTTTTCCATCGGAGATCCCGTCGTTCTTTAAACTTTTCGAAGCAATTACAACGAGCTTTGTATGCTCAAGAATGCAGAAAATCGCAACATGGGTCGGGCCGCGTGAATCAGTAATTAGGACACTGCCTCCAGTGCTGTATCCACGATTTGATAGAACGTTAAACTAAAGAGTGCGATATACGCGAGCGATTCGAGGAAACTCGATAAAATTAATATGGGGGTAGAGAAAGGTTCGACGTCAGCTAGTCGAGCCAGCGAAATAAAGATCACGCGACTGAGTACGTCCGAGAAAAATTCAATCTCGGAACTTTCCGCGGCCCGATCGATGAAATAACATTGAATTAGTAAACGTTCGACGTCGATGTTCATAGCGGGAACTCTGGACGATCATTTTCGGTCGTAACGCGGTCGCGAGTCCTCGGCGAAAGCTAGAGTCGGTCATTTTCGGTAATTGCCGCGTTCGTGCGAGCTTTTTACAAAGATCGGGTAAACGACGTCGCGTGAAGGAAACTGGCACCGCTTTAATAGCGAGCGCCGATCCCAGCGAACCGGAACATTCAGGTTTAAAACCGTGTGCACCGCGATTGGCGAGCCCGCGCCCGGTTTCCCACGTGTGCTTCGAGTTTCATAGCCGACGCGAGCCACGAAGAATAGCTTGAAACGTCCCCTGTCGTTCGTGCTGCTCCCACTCTCCAGAATGCTGCTTAACGCCCTCGTTAATAGCAGAGTTCTGCGAACCGGAGCCGGCACGAACCGACCCCGGCTCGTGATTTTCGCGCGACGCTGCAATGAGTTCGTGCTCCCTGCAACCCCCAATTAAACGCGATTTTTCTATCAGACCCACGGAAATGCGCGTTAAACGGTCAAACGAACCGTGCTCGGGTTTTCACAGCCGCTACTTTCGTCTTCCCGTCTATCCATTTGCTCGCGAGCGTCGAATTCTTTAACCTTTTGTGTACCAGGATTTTTGTAACTACCAAGCATGTTCTCCTCATTTTATATTTTTAATTATTTCGTTTCTACGTTTCGATGGGGCGAAAGGTAAAGAATTGAAAAATAGAGAAACTAGAAAAAATGGGAAACTGGCAAAATAGAAAAATGAAGAAATAGAAAAAATAGAGAGCGATAACTGTGTCGGATAGACAGGTAAGGTGACGAATGGTAAGAAACAGGACTCATTGTCGGTACGATAGAGAAAGCCAATACAGAAATACAGCCTAAAGTTACGTACCAATGTAATTACACATACCAACGTATTATTTAATATATCTTAGATACGATTCTTTCGTTTGACGCCGGCATAATAGCTTGGAAATTTTAGATTTAAAAAAAAATTTCGGAGATGGCGATAATACGAATTCCTAAAATTAAGATAAGTCGTCCAAGAATTTTCGTACCTAATTCTTAGTTAAATGAGCACAATGCTATAATTAGTTTGTTGCCTTTTAACACCCAAGAAATATAGTTCAAATGTTATTTCAGTTTTTGAAAATGCCACCAAAGTGGTACCACCGGACGGCATAGTGTTAATATATACATAACTAAATATATCACGTGAAGTATACACAATCAAATTATATTCTCTTCGTCGTTGAGTATGGAGTTCTTTCGATCACTGCCCCGAGTGACGCAGCGACTATGTTGCTAAAATTTGATCAACGATAAATTCGCGTTGCAAAGACGAAACGGTAATAATTTCAGCATCGATTCACCCATGTTAACAATTCGTTCGCCAACAGTTCAACCTTTCCCGTTGCACGTACGCGCCTCGGGAAACGTCTAACAGGAGTGCCGTGTCCGAAAATGTCTGTTGCGCGGAAGCAAACGCGATTAGAATTATCTGCGCCGAGAAACGTAGTCGGGAAATCGATAAAACGTATTAAAAGTGGAATAGAAAGGTACTTGGCATCGATGGCTATCGAAAGCTAGGAAATAGTAGCGGACAGATAGCTGGGCAGGTCCGGTTAGGTTCAAAACGGCAAAATTGTGGCCGCGGTCGGATAACAGGGAAGATCCGGATCGATAAAGTAACGGATCGATCGCGGCCGTTTATCGCATTTGGTAGCCGAAGGTATTGCAACGTCAAGCTGCAGATTTAATTCCGACGATGCAGCACAGACCGTGTCTGAATGAAACGGATATATCGAATGGGGGATCGAGGGCAGCAGCACGTTCTCGTACGAGAGCTTTGGAATTCGGTTATTAATTCGTCGTGGGGTCGCGGTCGGCTCCTTTATCGAGGAAACACGCCGCTGATAACAAGTAACGCGATTAACCGGACCAAGAGGGGAGGAATGCTTTCGCGTTTTTTTTACAACGCGTCGACGTAATCGGGGACACGCGTGCTCGCAGCATCGGGCGAGCCATCACCCGGCCATCTCGCTCCCGGAGATAGCTTTGCGAACTCTGCCGTCTTTCAGGGGCTTTTAAGATGACCATGATCCGTGACACAAGAATCAGGGAGCATCTGGTTCCACGGCCGGCTGTTTCGCCCCCGAGGTCTCTCACCCTATTTCGATCTACTCCATGGTTGTCCCGCAGCCCTTCGGCCCCCGTCCCGTTCTTCCGGCTCCTCGGACCGCCATAAACCGTCTTCGACGCCGTACAGAAAGCAAGCACTTGTCCGCGGACGACCTAAACGCGACTATCGAGAGAACCCTGTTCGATTCGAGCGAACGTTTCCGTTCTTCGCTCGCCGTCCTTCGTTCGTTCGTCCGTCCCGCGTTCTTCGTTCTTCCACCGGGCTACTCGACTTTCCATTTTGCTCGTCCCTCCCACACCCTCGTTTCGCCGGGAAAATTCGCCCGATTAATATTGCAACCACGGCCCTCCTTTCGAAGCATCGGGTCTTCGAATTTTATACGCGGTACACCGAATTCAATCGCATCCGCGTGCCCCCCCCCCCGTCACCCCCGCGCGAAATGTCTTCCGGAATATTTGCGCAGAGGAGTCCCGGTGTAACGCGAATCGGGAAAATATTTCGCCCGGAAAGGAAACCGGCGACAGAGCTGTACAAACGAACAGTACAAACTAGCTGGGATCCTGCCGGAGATACACGCGCGTGTACACCGTTCGCTTTGCGTTATTTTCGTCGTCGCTCCGATTTATCCCGTAGAATCGAATCTCGACCGGAGAGATGGAAATCAAATTTCGGAGCTTTATACATATAGTACGATCGTATTAAGTCGGACAGCTCTATCCGGTTTTAGTAAGTTACGTTACGTATTTTCCATTATTTGTATTTTCATCTGTATCTTCCATTATACCAAGGGGTTAAACTCATGCGTAAATAAATAAATAAATGATCGGCCGCGGAAGCAGTTTTACAATCTTAACATCATTGCGTAGTAAGGATTCCGAAATCTGTGGAAACAACAAGTTTGGTATTTCTATGCAATGTTAATTAATAAATAATGTAATATTAATTTAAGTGGAATAAGTACGAAATGTTGCTTAATAAGTAATGTAATGTTAATTTAGGTGGAATTAGTACGCAGTGTTACTTAATAAATAATGTAATGTTAATTTAAGTGGAATGAGTACGCAATGTTACTTAATAAATAATGTAATGTTAATTTAGGTGGAATTAGTACGCAGTGTTACTTAATAAATAATGTAATGTTAATTTAAGTGGAATGAGTACGCAATGTTACTTAATAAATAATGTAATGTTAATTTAGGTGGAATTAGTACGCAGTGTTACTTAATAAATAATGTAATGTTAATTTAAGTGGAATAAGTACGCAATGTTACTTAATAAGTAAAGTAATGTTTCTTAATAAATAATGTAATGTTATTTATTAAGTAGAATAAGTACGTAGTTTAACATTACGTATAGACATTAGCTTGTTGTTTTCATGGATTTCGGACTCTCTGTCACACAATGATTTTAAGATTGTAAAAGTGCTTTCGTGCCAAATTATTTATTTATTTATGAACGGGTTTTACCCTGTAGTATAATGAAAATACAGGTGAAAAAATATCACACAGAACCGTCGTAGGAGGCTCGCAGGTCGCATAACATTAATTCCAAAAGTGAGAGGGAAAGTGAGAAAGTTTAGTGATTTGCGAAACCTGTTTATATTCTGAAATATTCTGCTCCGGCTATTACAATCATCATAATCGGTTTGCCTGATTGAATTCTGGTCGAAGCATTAAACTGTGTCAAGAGATGCATTTAAATAGAACTTGGATAAAATATTACGATACCTGTGGAAACCGTTTAAAACTTGGATGCATCGAATTTCTCAGATATATTTTGTTATGAAAATCGTGAAAAAAATATGGTCTTGAACAATTTCTTTTTATTATCATAACTAGACAGCGGATTTTATTCGGTCATGAGTAAAACGAGTAGAAATATACAACAATAACAAGATTAATGTTTACACATAGCGACACGTTATTCAAAACTTATTAAGATCGTTAGGGGAAGAACGAAACTTTTATTTGGCTTCTGCTTTTTACAGATGATACAGCCTAATCGTAACATTTTTCCCTTTAGATGAAACAATATCTTCTTTTGATATTTTTTATATTATCAAGAATCCGTAAACTATTCGAAGTGATCAAGTTATTTCGTTCATCCTGCGTACACTATAGAATTCGATCTATTTATTCGTCCCTTCCACTTTGTCGCTTCTTCCGAACATTTCTTAGCCAGATCAGTGCTGTCTCGTGTATCCAACTTTGTACTACTTCATCCAGTCCTAATCATCATCAACCCTTTGCACTCGATACCACTTTAATTCTAAATCCAAAATAGCTTTTGTGACTTACGATGTTTTAATTTTACACGACTTAGCACATTTTAAACATATGAAAGTGAGTTTTGTGCCCCAAACATAGTCACACTTTTACTGTCAAAGGCTATGTGAAAATTTCTCTAACATCAGGTTATTATGACACGAATTTTGACGTGAACTTGAATTTTCTCGACATGAAAATAACCTTGATATGTCAGTTTGGCACGTTCCGAATTGTCTACTTCACGATTATCGAAATTATGAAGACACAATTTGGAGGGAATACGTTCAATAAATTTGTTTCATTGGACGTACAATCACGACAAAAATAGTTAAAAATCTGAACAAGTATACGCTTGATATTTCTACGAAGCAACGTGAAATAGCTACTTTCAGTGCTCCGTAAACCTGGCGTTAAACATACGCGAATCGGTCAACGAGAAAATGATATCCAAACGTGTTCCAACAATTTCCCGTAAAAAGAGATCCCACGTTCCGAAATCTCCGAAGAAATTCGCGCAAACGAATGCATCGACGATGCACTAACCGTCGTTATCAGCCCACGAATTCCGAGAGGAATTTCGCCATAGACATTAACACCAAAAGAAAAGAGCAAGGTAACAACGCGAATCCGGCAACCGCAAAAGTTCGACTCAACCTACCACGTGTTCGTTTCATTCGGCACGAATCGTGGCACAGCGTTATTCTAGCTTCGAAAGAATACCATAATCCGTTTAAACGTTGAATGGAGCCCGGCTCTCGGCGAGATCTAATTAGATTTGCTACTTGCCGGCCGGAGTGGCGGGGTGGTATCATCGAGCGCGGGGGTGCAGAACGCATGTGCGTTCGATTACGTATCGGTTTCGCCGGTGTTTACCAAACGACGAGTGTTATTCGAACGGGTATCCCGCGGAGCTCGGCGTAGGGCAAACATCTTCCGACTTGGTCCCGTGCCGGTGCCGGTGAGCGCAGGATGCGCGTAACGGTGCAGGGCGTGCAGGTTGCACACAGAGGGCGCGGAGCGGGTGCAGCGGGCGCGTAGAGGGTGCAGCGGGCGCAGAGGGTGCACGGTGCACGGTGTTCGGCCGGTCCGCTCCCCTCTCGTTCCCCACCCTCTGGGCTTTTCCTCCGATACCACCGCCTCCTCGGGAGGCTTTGCAGGCTGCGCGTCCGTCGCCGCGCCGTTGGCTCGTCTTCTCCGTCAGTGTGCCGTCCGCCGTCGGTCGAGGACCACGTGTGCTTGCGTGGCGTCGACAGGGTCGTGGACCGTCAGGGTTGCCCGTCACGCGCATATCCGTCAACCCCCTGCGAGTCCGAGCGCGGCTCGCTCGCGAAGGAAACCGGGAATAACAGACACTGTCTCTCGTGCTTCGTGCCTCGTTGCTCCTGCAGCTCGTTCGTTTCGGTCCGCTGGTATTTCGCCGTCGACGAGGAGAGAACCGAATCGGTGGCCGCGCGTCGCGCACGTGACGCTCTCGGCCAGCGGAAACCGGAGCTTCTCTGGAACCAGTGCGTTTCCGGATTATCCGTACCGAAGGTGCACAGGGAGAGAGCGGGTGCTCGCGCTCACGGACACAGACCGCGAGGTGTCCGGCGCGCGGTCGCGCCGCGGATCGGTGGAAAAGCGCGGCAAGTCTCGGCGCGGTACAGAAGGCGAGTGCTTTCGGTGTCCCGCGCTTTCGGATATTCGAGCCCGGTTGAGTGATCCAGTGACGGTGTCGCTCGCGGTGCACGCTCAATTTTCGTCCGGATCGATTTCGCGGTGTTCGCGGCCATTGGCGAGAGCGAACGTGATTGCAGAGCCCGCGCGCGTGTCCCGTTGCTTGGACCCCGTCCAGACGAACCGGAAATCTGTGGTGACCCGGCGTGATCGAAGATCTCCGCAGCGAGACTCGTTTTTTTTAGCCGGGCCGAGGTCGGCCGCCCCGATTAATCGGGACACCCTCCCCGCGCCCTCGTCCTCTCACCCCCTCGCCCCGACGACACTCAGGAGTCAAAAAGAGCGTCGCTCGCGTTACGCTCCGCGGAGCCGAGAATGCCTCGCGAGAATCAATCCCGGGGATCGTTGACCACACCGTCGCGGCTACAGCGTCGTCGTCGTTTTCCTTAACTAACCCCTCGGCTAATCCAGAGGCAGCAAAAGGGAGAGAAATCGAGAGAGAGAGAGAGAGAGAGAGAGATACAGGAGTAGAGTTCGCAGGAGACGAGGAAAATCGCGGTTCGATCGCGGAGGATCGAACGGCGAGAGGAGAGTGCGGGAAGAAGGAAGCAGAAAGCAGAAAGCAGGAAGCAGGTCCCTGTGCTCGTTCGTTCCGCGTCGTCGGCAGGCGAACGTGAAACCAGTCGGCCAACGGCATCCTGGTGTACCGCGGGGGCGGTAGGGCGCGCGGACCGGGGGTTATTTTCTGAACGAGACGGTGGCCGTTGGTGCGGTAAATTCTGCGGCCTCGGTGGACATACCATGGTCACCGGTGATTGCGGGTATCATGTTCGTCGTTGCAGGTTATTGGCTGCAGCAGCGGCGCGCGGTTAGATCGAGAGTGCGCCAGGTTTTCTAGCGGGCCGGAGGCTACTACGCGTGTCCGACGCTTTAATAACGGAGCGTGGAGTGGATGAAAGGCAGGCGGAAAAAAGGAAGCAAGCAGAGCGGTGCGGGCTCGGGATATATCCTATCGTATCCGCGTCGCGTACCGGCGCGAAGCGTCGCGGCGCGGCTCGGCGCTCTGGATGCGGTCCCGTTGTGGCTTTAATTAGTGTTTAACCGTCGACGGAAAAACAGGAGGCCGAGTCCCGAGGGGCAGGGGAGCGAAGGAGCAGCACCCCGGAGCGTGCGGTAACGCTTCGAATCGTGTGCCGGAGCGTCGAGCGCTCGGCTCTCCTGGCTCCAGGCTCTCTAGGCTGCACTCTCTCTCTCTCTCTTTAGGCTGCAGTCTCCCTCGGCTCCGGTCTCTCTCGGCCTCGGGCTCACCTAGTACGCGTCGCCTAGAGGGACGAGATCTCATGAACGTTCCTGCCGTTCCTGAAACGAGCGCGGCGTGCCAGCCATGCCGAGATAGGCCTGCGATGATCGCCGACACAGCCAGGAGCTGCCCCGAGAGCGAGCCTACAGCGCGAAAGATCGCCAACCATCCCTGCGCCGCGCGAACCTCACTCGCAGCAATCCCATCCTCGAGCTAGCTACCTGATCCCAGCTCGCTCGGTGTCCGCGGTACCTCGAGAGTATCCGATCTGATTCAGCTCGCTCGCTCGGTCTCGGCCTCGCGAAGTGCGGATATTCGTCGGCGAAACTGACGTGGAATAACTAGTGAACATGTGGAGTGTACTGGTGGTGGTGTTCGTCGGACTAACCAAGGCTGTTTCCTACGTCGCCGGGATCGCGACCGCCGTCGACGAAAAGTCTGGTGAGTCTCCTTGTTGATCCTCTTTGCTAGGTTCCAGTTTCGCCGAGTACAACAACGACGGGATATAACGGGGACGTTTTTCTGGAGGCGTGTGCGGGCTGCTAAAGTTACACGGCGGGATCAAAAAGTTTGTCAACATCGCGCCGCAACGGGAGCTCCCCTGTAACAGGGGCACACCGTGATTCGTCGGGCAAAAATAAAGCGCGGAATTACTTCTTTCGGGCGGAGTTTAACCCCTTGCCCCTGCGACTTCTTCCTTGGACCCGCTGATTGGAACTTTTTTTTTCTTATTGTTAATAATGTCACGCGGAACGTAGCTGGCTTTATTATTCATTCTCGCGAGAGACCGCGGGATTATTCGCGGAATCTTCGTAACGAGTTCGACACCAGTTATCGCAGGGCGAGGGATTAAAGTTGAACGGGGACGCGTGTTTAATCGTAGGGGAAAATGGCCGGCCACGCTCGGACACGGCAGCTTCTGCGATACGTGTTCGATTAATTAGCAAATGGATTTTATTTCGGAAAAACGAGTTTCGCATTTATAGATCGTACGGGAGGCGGCAATTTTCTTGTCGATTTAAGACAGGTGTCGTTTCAACGGTGACGATTCGCGATACGATGTAGCAGCAATTATAACGCGATCGATACGCTCTTGTTATTCTTAGGCAGGTCCAATGTTAAAATTATCGAGATGATAGGAGACTATTTTACACGTCGTGTTGCAATTAGTTATAAATAGTGCTTGGCGAAGATAGGACGATAATGCGATTTTGTTATAGAATTTTGCTATATCGGGATAACGGAATATTAATACATTGTGTGCCATCGTATTTCGAGTATTTTACAAAATTCATATCTATTCTAATATATTCGAAGAAACTCAATTTCACTTAGATTGTTGAAATACGGAAGGACTAAAATACCATCAATTAAGATCAATTTGATTCTTCTAAATTCGGTATTATTATTAACACTAGGTTTACGGAACCTGTTAAAAAATTGGCTCACTATGTTTTTCATTTACAATTATTCAGATCAATTATTTACGAGTCATTTATACAATATACGTGTTACGCGTTATACGTGTTACTATAACTGTTAATATGAATGTTAATATTAAACAGCCGCGTTTAGTGTTCCGTAAATCTAGTGTTAAAATTGTCTTGCTTTCATGGGAATTTTTAGGACTGATTTCCGGCGCTTCGCCCTTATCCACTGCGCCTATTAACCCTTTGCACTCGAGGGGTGACTCTGAGGCACCACTGAATATTGTTATATCGCGTTTTAAAATCATTTTTATATTATGAAATTTATCTATATTCAAAAAACTGCTAAAACTATAACTGCCGTGAAAGTTGCAAGACTCAATTGTATATGCATAAAATGGACTGCATAAAATAAACTGTAGATCGGAGAAACTATTTTGGATTTAGCTTCGGGTGCAAAGGTTTAAAATTTGCGCAACCACTGTTAACGACCCCACAGACGGCTAATGTATTATTGACGCAATAGGATCGAATAAAAAATCAAAATCAATTGTCCTTACTTTACACATGAATAATGAATGGACCCAAGTGTATTAAAGCGTTTCTTCCATAACAATTTTACAATTTTTCTTACAATTATATTATCACTACAGAAGAACGAATAATATAGTAACGGTCTGATGGACCGGCGGTGGTAGTTAATGGTTAACGAGTCAAGATATTCTGTACAGAAATAAGTCGAGTTCAGAAAAGGCCGACGTCGGAACGTGTTCGAGAAAAATGATCCGATCGAAGACTCCGGTGGCGGGTAGCCAGAATTTTCGAGAAACGATCAGACCGTAATTTCTCGTCGTCGAATACCCGGGCTGCAAAAATCTGGGAAAAATCGCGGAGGATCCCGTATTTTCGCGCTACTATTTCCCCGGTTTTATTTACCACACTCGCCGGTATCTAGGACGCAGATTCGCCCCAGGCGGCCGCCGCAGTTTTTCGGCGGGGTGTACGTACGTAATAAATCGGCGAATCGGAGCCGCGTGCGTTCAAACACAAGGGTGGCTCGGTGTATTCATGGTGGAACCGGGAGCCGAGTCGCGACTATACGGTGAAAAATAATCCGAGTAACACGAAACGCTGTTTTTCATACGAGGCTGAGTTCTCGTGGAAATCGGCTTTGAACGTTCCCGGACATGGCCGTCTAAGCGTTCGCCAGAAGTGGACAGGGTCAGCCATAATCAGGCACGGCTGCCTCCACGGTCATTTTCAATCTCGGTTTTCGAGGAAATGGAATATGGCACGGAAGACCTTATTCCGCAAGCTTTTTCGTGTAGAATTTATTCGGCGCAAAACGATGAACAAAGTATGGTTAATGGACTGGGGGGTTTTGTGCACTTATTTATAGCTTTCATGTATTTTAAAAATTCTATATAATATTTTAGAAACTTTATTTAGGTGTCCCGAATTTCTAAATTCAGCGAATATACCAAAAATTTTCAGTTCACGACAGTGTAACGTTTCATTTAAATATCCGCACTCTACTCGTTAATAATGTGTATCTTCCCTCTTAGGTAATCACGAATATAAAAATATTCGTATTGCACTAATTTTTTATTATTCATCTAGCATTACGTCGATGACTTCTGACTCGATTTCCCTACGAAATTGATCAATGTCACTGTTATCGCTTGGAAGAAGTACTAATTAATGGAAGAAAATCAGATCTCTTTGGAAGATCTTTTAAAGATCATTTCAAATCGTCGTCACACGTACATTATTCACTAGGGTACCAATTACAAGTCTCTGTCGTCGAAATTATCCCAAGACGGATTTTCTATGATTAGCAGACTGCAGATTTTTATGCAGTTATGGCATGTGCAGAATTTTAGAACGCAAGGAAATTTATAAATTGACAAGGTCCAGTAGCATTTTTATTTTCTTCGTACAATGAGTAATTTTTCAAATGGCAAAGAAAGTGTTTCTGTCACTCTGATTTTTGTAAAATAGTCTGTGAAGGTAAGAATTTGCATAAAGATCCACAGTCTAATAGTATACAGTAATTTCACCCTAATTCGCGCTCAGATTGCGCACAAAAATGGACAATTTGGGAAGAGATGATACTATTATTCGAGCCTTGCGGCTTTATATTGGATTGGCAACTAAGTAATTGCAGATTTGTTCAATGAAATAAAAAATTCTTTTTTATTTGGAACGAAGTTTAATCTGTAATGTATTTTCCATTTTGTTCGATGACCTTTTGCCATCTCTCTGACAACTTGAAAATTCCACGCTCGCAGAAAGTCCGATCCTTTTCGGCCAAAAACTGAGTTAAGTGAGATTTTACAGCGTCATCATCGTTAAAAGTTTTACCACGAAGGGAGTTGTCCAGGGATCGAAATAAGGCGCGAGATCAGGGCTATATGGTGGGTGTAACATCAATTCCCAAGCAATATCCAACAATTTTTGCCGAGTGAACAAAGACGTGTGCGGCCTAGCATTGTCCTGCTGGAAAATGACACCTTTACGATCGACCAATTCTGGTCGTTTTTCCTTGACCGCTGCATTCAATTTGTCCAGTTACTAACTCTCACGGATAATAAAAAATAACATAATAATAATAATAATAATTTTATAATATAACATTTACGGATATCATAAAAATGGGAGTGAGAGACATCTATAACTGAAATCGACAATTACTTAGTTGCTAACCCAATAGTTACCGATTAATAATAATTATAATAATAATAACAATAACTATAAAAACGAAGGGCAGGGCTCGAATAATCGTATCTCTTGTTCCCAAATTGTCCACTTTTGTACGCAATCTGAACTAGGAAATTAGGAAGAAATTACTGTATTGTAAGACACTCGTCGACAAGAGTTGCGGCATTATCAGACGACGCGACTGATTTACGCGCTCACCAAAGCCGACGTCAAAGCCGGCCGTTTGGACCGCGAGAAGAAGGGCCGACGTGTATTCCCCCGGTAATATATAATGTACCGAATACATGCACGAGATGCCATATCGTCTCTCGCTCTCTCCGCTTGTATCGCCTGTACTCCCAAGACGGTTCGCATACATCCCGGCGACGTCGAGTGCAGAGCTAGATGTAATCAAATTTGACGGATACGTAGGATTTGAATTTTCCAGCAGCGTGGTTAGACATTGATTTCACCGCACGTCTTGCATCGTTCGCGTTACAACGGAAGCTGCGACGCTTCCAGACGCTGCGAACCTTCCTCGGATCCCCCAGATGTACGACAGTCGATCCAGTCGGCGAGCATTTAATCGCGAGACTTAATAGAGACTGAGACGTCGCTCGATCGAACCTCTTTGAGACCGATCTTTCGCATATTACGCTAGAATTTATTTATTAACGTTCTGCAGTCCAAGCCATTTTAACATTTTAACTCCGGAACACGAGACGTTTCTTCCGATCAAGAAGATTTCTATTTTTTTCTCAATGTTTATTCTCTCTTCATTTTTATTCTCTTTTTGGCCATTTCAATTTTTAGCAATTTACTAAGTACAAGCTGCAATATAAAAGTTGTTCGGAAATACAGTATGGTAAATTTTATTGGTTCCTTTTTTATCTCAATCATCAATTCTTTGAACATACAGTCGGCTCGGAAAGTATGTTGACGCCTTTTCAAGTGGAATAACTTTTTTTCAAATTGGTTCGAAAGACTTGAATATTTTGGAGATGTTAGACCGACTAGTTTTCTATGAAGATTGCAATTGATTGGAACGATAAATAAATTGAAAAGTAATGTCATTCAAACTTTTTTATTCGAGCCCGTAATGAAAATGTAAAAAATGCATTTTGTAGATCACGGTAACTCATATGCATGCCGAAAATTTCAGACACAGCACAGTGAAAGAGCAACATTTGAACGCCGAGTTCAAAACTTACTAAATTAAGTTACACTAAAAAAAATTAGGTAAAAAAAATATTAAGTTACACTTACAAAATTCGCAACGTTTTTGAGGTTACAGGTTGTCTCAGTCAGACAATA